AAATATTTGCAACAGTTAGGACACTGTGTTTTTATTCACAATATATAAAGGCTTAGATACCAGAATAGGTATCTAAGATAGCACAGATGGGTAAATGACAGTCTCTTCAGACTCACTTGCTTAGAAGAAACGGAAGCTTTTCTAGCTCTCTTGCTTTTCCTCTCTTTTTATTTTTACTTTTTGGGAGAAATGGGGTCTTGCTACTCCTGGCCTCCACCTCACAAAGTATTGAGACTATAGGCATGAACCACCATGCCCAGCCCACTCTAGCTATCTTACTGTAAAGGTATAACAGGTAGTCTCCTAGTCATCCAAGGACAAGAAAAGTAGTATACTCAGGGAATGATCCTGGAAAGGCAGGAACAGAGACTTCCCACTCTCTCATGGGCCTGCATAAGTAGCTGTTATTCTGCATGTGTTTTATAAGGTCACTGCATCACTTAGCTCAAATTCTCAAGACTCTGATTGGCAAGCCATGAGTTTATTTGACTTGGATCAGGTGTCCACTCCTTGTCCAAGTAGCTGTCAGTGGGCTGGGCGCGGTTGCTCATGCCTGTAATCCCAGCACTTTAGGAGGCTGAGGCGGGCAGATCCTGAGGTCACGAAATCGAGACCTATAACTCAATCAAGACAGTTGCAGGTGGGCAAAAGATATATTTTAAAAAAAAGAAATTGAGACCATCCTGGCCAACATGGTGAAACCCCGTCTCTACTTAAAAATACAAAGATTAGCCAGGCATAGTGGCGCACACCTGTAATCTCAGCTACTTAGGAGGCTGAGGTAGGAGAATCACTTGAACCCGGAGGTGGAGGTTGCGGTGAGCCGAGAACATGCCACTGCACTCCAGCCTGGGCGACAGAGTGAGATTCCATCTAAAAAAAAATAGCCAGGCGTGGTGACATGAGCCTGTAGTCCCAGCTGCTCAGGCATCTGAGGTGGAAGGATCACCTGAGCCTGGGAGATTGAGGCTGCAGTGAGCAGTGATTGCACCACTGCCCTCCAGCCTGTCTCTTAAAAAAAAAAAAAAAAAAAAAAAAAGCGGAGTGAAAGGAGAACTACCAAGTATTAAAGCACATTTAAAATTTAAGTCAGTATGGTGCTGGCGTGAGAAGTAGACATAGAATAAATAGGATAGAAACAGATTTTTGTATGTATGAGAATGTAATATATGACAAAACGAGAACTTCACCAAATTGTACAGGAAGGATTATATCATAATTAGTTCTGTTACAAATGGTAACTAAGAGCACCTTCTGTACCAGGCACTATGCTGAGTGCTATTTTGTGGTTTTTTTGTTTTGTTTTGTTTTTGAGATAAGTTCTTGCTCTGTAGCCCAGGCTGGAGTGCAGTAGTGGAATCTGCTCACTGTAGCCTTGACCTCCTGGGCTCAAGCAATTCTCTCTCCCATCTCAGCCTTCTGAGTAGCTGGGAACACAGGCATGAGCCACGACTAATTTTTAATAGAGATGGGGGTCTCCCTACATTGCCCAGGCTAGTCTTAGTGCTTTTATGTACTTTTTCTCCTTTGCTTATTACAGCCTTTTGAGATGTAGGTGGTGCCATCCTCATTCTAAAGATTAGCAAACTAAATCTAGAGGTCCAGGGGATTTAGTTGCCCAGAGTCACATAGAAAAGGAGTAATGGAACCTAGATTACAACCAAGGATGTTAGACTCCAAGTTTGTATTCTTTGCCCACTACATGCTTTGTTTTTGTTTCTTTGTTTTTGAGACGGAGTTTCCCTCTTGCCACCCAGGCTGGAGTACAACGGTGTGATCTTAGCTCATTGCAACCTCTGCATCCCAGGTTCAAATGATTCTTCTGCCTCAGCCTTCTGAGTGGCTTGGATTACAGGCACCCACCACCACAGACAGCTAATTTTTGTATTTTTAGTAGAGACACAGTTTCACCATGTTAGCCAGACTGGTCTCAAACTCTTGACCTCAGGTGATCCACACACCTTGGCCTCCCAAAGTGCTGGGATTACAGGCGTGAGCCACTGCACCTAGCCTGCCACTACATACTTTGTAGCTTAAGTTCTTAGCAAGGTATCTAGAATATCAGAGGCATTTAGTAAATATAATTCTTAGGTATAACTTAGAGTTTGCTGCATATATTAAAGCTTGTGTATAATACATATAGTAATAATAAACAGCAATATAAAGCTGTCATATTACCATTAAGATTGAGGAAATTCCTTGGGAATAAGTAAAACTTTTTTCCAGAAAATCCCCAGTGGAATGAATCATGTAATTCCAAAAATCACACATGATGAAGCATCAATAAATATTGGTTGATTTAATAATTATTATTTCCTGCTATCCCATTTCTGAGCCTCTCACTCCTCTGACTCATTAAACCCTTTATTCTGTCTCATAATTCATTCAAGACTAGTTGAATAGCAGTGCGGGCCCAAAGATGGAGCCAGCATTTCCTTGTAAATATCCTGACATTGACTCATTTGTTCAGCAAACATCTATTAAGCATCCACTCTCCATGTATTCTATTAAGGTTAGAGAGACATTTAAAATTGCAAATTAACATTAAAGTATAAACCAAACCAAACAAAAAGCTCCAGTCCCTAGGAAATTAAATGTTCTCTCCTCTGTGGAGCCTTCTCTAGATTCTCTTGAGGTAAATTTAGTCACTGACTCAGAGCACCCAGAACAATCTGTTCAACTTCTAAAATCACACCCCTTGCGTTGTGTTAATCTTTCTGGTTTCCCACACTTGACTCCTTTAGGTCAGTTTTTCTCGCAGAGTGGTCAGGATATGACTGGTACAATTCTGCTTTGAAGGATTTTTGTTGAATTTTGTCTTGTTTTGTTTTTGGCTTGGCGTGACCTGATTAATGCATCCAGTCTTTGTTCCAATAAATATTTATCAATACCTACTGTATGCCATGTACTCGGCTAGATAGTTAATAATAAATAAGGGATAATAAACAAAGACAAGCAAAGGCAAACAGCCAAGGTCCTAGACCTCATGGGAGCTCACATGGGCACTTGAAAAGAATGTGTTTTCTTTTTTTTTTTTAATTTGTTAATTTTTCCTTTTAAGAATGTGTTTTCTTTGTATTAAGTCAGTCAGGTGTTTAAATCTTATTTATTATACTATTCAAATCTTCTGTGAATGTAAATGAATTTTAAGTATATTTTACATTTTATAGCTTAATAGTGGTATATTAAAGTTTCCCACTGTAATTGCATTTGCATTCATTTTCTTCTATTTTTGCTTTACATTTTGCCCATGAAATCAGATGGAAAGGTTAAAAATGAAAGAATGGGCAAAGGTAAATCAAGGAACTATAAATAAAAAAAAAAACAATATTAATAACCTGAGTTAGTCATTTTCAAATTAGTCCTTCTGACAATCCTGCAGTGTCTTCCTGCAATTTCAGGATGAAGATCCAAATTTCTTAATCCTATTTTTGAGACTCTTTGTTCTCTGGTCTACTTTCTTTCCCCCCCAACTCTCCCCCTCACACACATCCATCCGTCCGTCTATTTATCTATCTATCTATCTATCTATCTATCTATCTATCTATCTATCTATTTTCCCTTTGTCCCCCAGGCTGGAGTGCAGTGGCGTGATCTCGGCTCACTGCAACCCCCGCTTCCCAGGTTCAAGCAATTCTCCTGCCTCAGCCTCCTGAGTAGCTGGGACTACAGGCGCACGCCACCATGCCTGGATAATTTTTCTATTTTTGGTAGAGAGAGGGTTTTGCCACTTTGGCCAGGCTGGTCTCAAACTCCTGGCTTCAAGTGATCTGCCGGCCTCAGCCTCCCAAAGTGCTAGGATTACAGGCGTGAGCCACCGCACCCAGGCTTTTTTTTATTTTTTCCTTTAGCAACGCTATTAACACAACAAGCTTTTATTTATTTTTATGTATTTATTTATTTATTTTTTGAGAAAGAGTCTTGTTCTGTCACCAGGCTAGAATGCAGTGGCACAATCTCGGCTCACTGCAACCTCCGACTCCCTGGTTCGAGCAATTCTCCTGCCTCAGCCTCCCAAGTAGCTGGGACTACAGGCGCCCACCACCACGCCCAGCTAATTTTTGCATTTTTAGTAGAGATGCGGTTTCACTGTGTTGGCCAGGATGGTCTTAATCTCTTGACCTCATGATCTGCCCGCCTTGGCCTCCCAAAGTGCTGGGATTACAGGCGTGAGCCACTGCACCCGGCCCCAGAACAATCTTTTATTTAATCCTTACAACCTCCCTATGAAATGAGCAGGGCAAATTTTATTATCCCTGTTTGGTAGATGAGGAAAGCGAAGACTCAGGAAGGTTAAATAGTTTGTCCATAGCCATCAGCTGTTAGTTGGGGGGACCAACAGTCAAATTCAGATCTTCTCTCTTCAGAATGTATGCTCTTTCCATTAAAACACTCTGGCCTTTTATGTGATCTTCAGTTAGCCTGGACCACGTCTTGGGTACCATGATATGGTTCATGATTGCAGTTTCCACCACCTGAAGCCTTTAGTGTTCCTGAGGCTGCCCCCAGTCTGGCCAACTTGCTAATCTCACCTCTGGTCACTCCAAACATGCTTAGCTGCAACAATATGGAACGTGATGCATTGTGCTGAACCACGCCTTCATGCTTTCACACATCATACTATTTGCTCAGCCTGGAACACCCTTTCCCTATGTTTTTGTCTCACTAAATCCTACAGGCCCTTTGAAACTGAGCTCTTGCTGACATTTTTCAGCACGCCATCTCTCACCTTTACAGTCTTCAGTGCTCTCGTAGCAAGCACCGTGTGCATTCTTCCATCTTGGTACTTAACACACTGTCCTGTCATTGTCCATGTACATGACTCTTTCCTCTGTCTCCCAGACGGGAGGTAGGAAAGCAAAGATTCTTTTTCCTTCATTTACTTAGCAATGCCAAAACCAAGCCAAGTACTGGCTTATGATGGGTTCTTCGCTTAATAAGTTTTTGTAACATGAATAAGTGAGCTTTTATGGCCTAAAAACAGTGCTTTTATCTTCTAGGTACATGGTTCAGTGGCCTGGTGGCCGAATCCTGCATCGCCATGAGCTAGACACCTTCCTTGCACAGGCAGTGTCTACCCAGCTTTATGAACCAGATCAGCTCCAAGAACTCAAGGTGATTTCTTGTACCCTCATTTAAGTTCTTCCTTTTATGAGCTTATGGCACTACTTTAGGTCTTTTTTTTTTCTTGGAGCTGAGGAGTAAGTTCTGCAGGTAACTGTTTGATTTACTTTAGCCAAATATTTGGGTCTATTAATAAAGCCAAGAGGTGCCTGCTATACTACTCTCATACTGATAAATGAGAATGGACAGAAAAGATGGATATTATGCAACAAAAATAAATCATGGCCCTCAGACCATGGCAAGGTTTCTGGCTCTTACAAGATACACTATAGGAAACTTATCCTGATGTCCGTCCCCTGCTTGTGTCTGAATAAATGTCCACCCCTCCTTTAGTGATATGTATTGAGTATTAAGTAGAAATACAGAAAAGCATAAGGAAGGAAGTCAACCACCCACTGAAGGCAGTAGAGCATGGAGTATAGAGGTGAGGCTCTGAAGCCAGGCTGCCTTGGGTTTGAATCCTGGCTTCATTACCTCCTAGCTGTGTGACCTTGGGCAGGTTACTTAACCTCTCTAGCTGCAGTTTCCTTATGTGTAGATTATATATTAGTCCATTTCGTATTGCTATAAAAGAATACCTGAGACTAGATAATTTATAAAGAAAAATGGTTTACTGAGCCCGTTCTGAAGTCAGTATAAAAAACATGGTGCCAGCATCTACTCAGCTTCTGATCAGGGCCTCAGGAAGCTTTTACTCATGGTAGAAGGTGAGGGGAATAAGACAAGAGGAGCCAGCGTGTCACCTGGAGAGAGAGATCACATAAGAGAGAAGGGCAAGGTGCTAGACTCTTTCTAACAATCAGTTATTGTATGAACTAATAGAGTGAGAACTCACTCATCACCACTGGGAGGGCACCAAGCCATTCCTGAGGGATCTGCCCCCATGACTCAGACACCTCCCACTAGGTTCCACTGCCAACATTGGGGATCACATTTCAATATGCAATTTGGAGGATACTATGTAAAATAATCCATGTAAAACCCCTAGAACAGTGTCTCCCTTTTCTTTTTAATTGTACTTTAGGTTCTGGGGTACATGTGCAGATCATGCAGGATTGTTGCATAGGTACACACATGGCAATGTGGTTTGCTGCCTCCATCCCCCGTCACCTATATCTGGCATTTCTCCCCATGTTATCACTCCCCAACCTCCCCACCCCCCTGCTGTCCCTCCCTTGCCCCACCCCCAACGGGCCCCAGTGATGCTCCCCTCCCTGTGCCCACATGTTCTCATTGTTCAACACCCGCCTATGAGTGGGATGTTTGATTTTCTGTTCTTGTGTCAGTTTGCTGAGAATGATGGTTTCCAGATTCATCCATGTCCCTACAAAGGACACAAACTCATCGTTTCTTATGGCTGCATAGTATTCCATGGTGTATATGTGCCACATTTTCCCTGTCCAGTCTATCATCGATGGGCATTTGAGTTGGTTCCAGGTCTTTGCTATTGTAAACAGTGCCTCTATGAACATACGTGTGCATGTGTCTTTATAATACGTGTGCATGTATCTTTATAATAGAATGGTATATAATCCTTTGGCTATATACCCAGTAATGGGATTGCTGGGTCAAATGGAATTTCTATTTCTAGGTCCTTGAGGTGTCTCCCTTTTTGTTTTTTGGTTTTTTTTCGAGATGGAGTTTTGCTCTTATTGCCCAGGCTGGAGTGCAATGGCGCAATCTCCGCTTGCTGCAACCTCCACCTTCAAGGTTCAAGCAATTCTCTTGCCTCAGAGCCTCCCAATTAGCTGAGATTACAGGCATGCACCACCACGCCTGGCTTATTTTATATTTTTACTAGAGACGGTGTTTCTCCATGTTGGTCAGGCTGGTCTTGAACTCCCGACCTCAGATGATCTGTCCACCTTGGCCTCACAAAGTGCTGGGATTACAGGCATGAGCCACCGTGCCCAGCCAGTGTCTCATATATTTTAAGTACATAAAACTCAGCAAAATGTAGCCATTAATGCAGAACGTCCCTCCCTTGACCTTAGCAACCTTGTTCCTTTGAGGCTCCAGGGTAAACTAGAAGATGAAGTTCAATAAGACTCGCAAAATCTTAAGTGAGGTCAACTAAGATGAGACAGACTCAGACAACCAGTGAGTGGTTGCTTTTTGCAGTAAATGTTGTATTGCTTGTCCTACTGCTCCTGCTAAACCACGCCTAGGAGGGGACCTGCAAACACTTTGCTTTTTTCTGTTGAAGCTGTCTTCTAACACACTGACTTGACATAACCGCTGTGGGAATTGAGGTTTTTCCCAATCTCCTTTCATGCACTTTTTACATAGTTGAGGTAGTTTTTATGTATTATATGTTGTGAGTTCTTTACATTTCACGTAGCACATATTTTCTGTCTTAAAATGTTAATAAATAATATTTTATATGGATGTATCATTTAATTGTTCTCATATTGGTGACTTAGGTTCTTTTCAGTTTCCCTCTATAATGTGTTGCCTTAGTCCATTTAGAGTTGCTATAAAGGACTATCTGAAGCTGGGTAATTGATAAAGAAAAGAGGTTTTTTGTTTTTTGTTTTTTGAGACAGAGTCTCGCTCTGTCACCCAGGCTGGAGTGCAGTGGCACAGTCTCGGTTCACTGCAGCCTCCATCTCCCAGGTTCAAGCAATGCTCCCACCTCATCCTCTTGAGTAGCTGGAACTACAGATGCCCACCACCACACCTGGCTAATTTTTGTATTTTTAGTAGAGATGGGGTTTCACCATGTTGGTCAGGCTGGTCTCAAACTCCTGGCCTCAGGTGATCTGCCTGCCTTGGCCTCCTGAAGTGCTGGGATTACAGGTGTGAGCCACCATGCCTGACCGTGTAATATACGTTTCTTACCAGCTTTATGTGAGTGCCCATTTATTTCACTGCAGCAGCAGCAGATCAGCATTAAGTGTTCTTTCAGCCTTTACTTTGTAATTATTTTTCTAATTTTACAAGTGAAAAAACTGTCTCAGGTTGATATCTTTAATGTTGTAATGAGTACCCTTCAAACCATCTCAGGGAAAGACATGGGTAGAAGCTGCTTATGCACTGAGGTGTCTACACTGAATGGCAGCATGTTCACATTTAACTGGAAGAATCAGCATGACAGAAATAAGAGTAAATGTTACCAAGAATAGTAGTTTCTTAATGGTAATATTTCATCTGTGGTGGTTTCAGATTGAGAAACTGGATGCCCGAGGGATCCAGCTTGCTGCCCTCTTCATGAGTGGAGTCGACACAGCTCTGTTTGCTAATGATGCCTGTGGCCAGCCAGTCCCTTGGGAACATTGCTGCCCCTGGATTTACTTCGATGGCAAGCTATTCCAGAGCAAGCTAATTAAAGCAGGCCGAGACCGAGTATCTCTGATAGAGCTCTGTGATGGCCAGGTATCAGAATGTCGGGCTGCTAAGGACTAGCCCTGATCTCCTGTGGGGATGAATGTGCAGGGAGGGCAAAAGAGCAGAGACAATGGAGAGGAATGGGACAGAAGCTGGAGAATGTGTCTCACCTTAACCTGACTTAGTCAACAGTGGTCCCAAAAGCCCGTAGTCTGATACTTACATGTTGTAAAATTTTATGTTGGAAAGTATTTTTTAATGAACTTAAAGTTTTCATATCCCTTTTTTTTGAGACGGAGTTTTGCTCTTGTTACCCAGGCTGGAGTGCGATGGCGCGATCTCGGCTCACCGCAACCTCCGCCTCCTGGGTTCAGGCAATTCTCCTGCCTCAGCCTCCCAAGCAGCTGGGATTACAGGCACACACCACCATGCCCAGCTAATTTTTTGTATTTTTAGTAGAGACGGGGTTTCACCATGTTGACCAGGATGGTCTTGATCTCTTGACCTCGTGATCCACCCGCCTCTGCCTCCCAAAGTTCTGGGATTACAGGTGTGAGCCACCGCGCCCGGCTCATATCCCTTTTCTTACTCTGAGTATTTCTTTTCCATGGAATATTCAGATATACTATATACCTTCCCTCCAACTCTTAGAATTTTATTTCTCTTATTTACAAAAACTGTCTCTTCTGCAAGTGATGATTTTTTTGTGAAGGAACTATGTTTGGAAACAGAAGAGGGTAGTAAAGCTGACCACAGAGTAGAAGCAGAGGATTTTTAAAAACGAAGCATTGGGAAGAGTGAGGGAGGCAAGGGAAAGGAAACCTTACTTAACTCCTTTGTCCATTTTGGTGGGGAAAGAGCTGAGGGACTAGAGCAGGGATTGGCAGACTACCCAGCACACCTCCTGTTTTTCATAACTAGAAGTCAAATGAACTATCCATAGTGCTACAAACCACCCGTTTTTTGGAATGTAGACCACCCCGTTTTTTTAAAAAAATTGTATTGGAACACAGCCACATTCATTCGTCTACATACCATCTATGACAGCTTTCATTTTTCTTTTCTTTTCTTTTTTTTTTTCAAGAGAGAGTCTCACTCTGTTGTCTAGGAATGTGGTGGCACAATGTCGGCTCACTGAAACCTCCGCCTCCCAGATTCAAGCGATTCTCCCATCTCAGCCTCCTGAGTAGCTGGGACTATAGGTGTATGCTACCACGCCTGGCTAATTTTTTTATATTTTTAGTAGAGATGGGGTTTTCACACATTGGTCAGACTGGTCTCGAACTCCTGACCTCAGGTGATCACCTGCCTTGGCCTCCCAAAGTGTTGGGATTACAGGCGTGAGCCACCACACCTGGCCTATGACTGCTTTCATGTCATAATAGCAGACTGGAGTAATTGTGACAGAGACAATATGGCCTATAAAGCTTAAAATATTTACTCTCTGACCCTTTACATAAGAAGTTTGCAGACCTCTGGACTAGAGGTACCAGGATCTTCAATTCTGGGCATGAGGGAGAAAGTTAAAAGGCTTTTTAAAAAATTTATTTATTTACTAATTTTTTTTCTTTTGAGATGGTGTTGCACTTTGTCACCCAGGCTGGGGTGCAGTGGCACGATCTCAGCTCACTGCAAACTTCCACCTCCCAGGTTCAAGCGATTCTCCTGCCTTAGCCTACCGAGTAGCCGGGACTACAGGCATATGCCACCACACCGGCTAATTTTTTGTATTTTTAGTAGAGATGGGGTTTCACTGTGTTAGCCAGGATGGTCTCAATCTCCTGACCTCGTGATCTGCCCACCTTGGCCTCTCAAAGTGCTGGGATTACAAGTGTGAGTCACTGTGCCCAGCAAAAGGCTTTTTATTTGTCAGTGTTTTATTTCTCTTTTATCTAATTCTATTACATCTTCCTTAGAAAGTGACCCAGCCCAATGCCAGCCATGTAGTAGACCATCAGTAATCCTTACTGTTAAATTTGTCTTCCTCAATCTAGTCAATGTACATCACAAGCCCTGATTCAGAACTCATATGACAGTAGCATGATGTCATGTAAGTGGGGACTTTGGTGCCAGACAGGCTTCCTGAGTGTGTAGCTTTGAGCCCTTTAATGACAGGCCTCAGTTCACTTAGCGGGAATAGAATTGTGAGACTGTACCTAAAGTGGTCCATGCTGGGCCTAAAACATGGGACAAGTTTGAAAAATGGCAGCTGCTATTATTACTCTTTTCCTCATTTGAAGGCTGACCTGGCAACCAAAGTGGAAAAGATGAGACAGAGCATCCTTGAAGGAGTCAACATGAATCATCCACCACCTTCTGCTCTACTTCCGTCACCTACTTTTGTGACTCCCATGGTGCCCTCTCTCTACCCTGTTTCACTTTATTCCCGAGCTATGGGCTCCATGCCACTTCCACCTCAAGGAAGGAGCAGGGGATTTGCAGGTCAGTACCTAAAAATGAGGTCTTTGTCATCCTTAATTTATGTAATAATAATCTGTCCAGTCATTATTGTCAGTAACAGAATCAACAGTTTCACATATATCTCATCTCACTGACTTTTTTTTTTTTTTTTGAGACAGAGTTTTACTCTTGTCACCCAGGCTGGAGTGCAATGGTGTGATCTCGGCTCACTGCAACCTCTGCCTCCCAAGGTTCAAGTGATTCTACTGCCTCAGCCTCTTGAGTAGCTGGGATTACAGGCATGTGCCACCACACCCGGCTAATTTTGTATTTTTAGTAGAGACTGTGTTTCACCACGTTGACCGGGATGGTCTCCAACTCTTGACCTAAGGTGATCCATCCGCCTTGGCCTCCGGAAGTGCTGGGATTACAGGCATGAGCCACAGCGCCCAGCCTCATCTCACTTAGTTTCTGTGCTGTGTAGTTTGAAGAGCAGTTTATGTCCATTTACACTTCTAAGACCACTCTCCATAGAGGTAGTTGGTCCCCAGGGATTTGACTCTCACCAACCAAACTCATGAACTAATGTGGAAACCAGAAGCCACGTTATTACTTTTGAGAACTGCAAGTCATATGGACCGGATTCATTCATTCCTTCCCTATAGGCAATGCACACAGGAGCTTGCAGGAAGATAAGTGGGAGTTAATGGCCAGTGCTGGTAGACAACAATAGCTTGATGACATTTCCACTCTGGGAATAGACTTAACACATTTCCCTTCCTTCAGCTCCAGAAACATGGAGATAAATATGTCACCATCCATGCCACCAAAGGATTGCAGTTTAGTGAGGAAAACACACACACACACACACACACACACACTCATATGTACACACAAACATATGCATAAATTATGGTGGCACCTGAGCTACAACTTAACTATGAGTAGACAATCATGCCTAGATTGCTCAGATACTGATCCTGATAATTCAAACAACCTGTCCCCTGGTGAAACAAGATTTTTTTGTTTGTTTGTGTTGTTTTTGAGACAGGATCTTTTTCTGTCCACAGCCTGGCTAATTTTTAGTAGAGATGGGGTTTTATCATATTTGTCAGTCTGGTATGGAACGCCCATCCTCAGGTGATTGGCCCACCTTGGCCTCTTAAAATGCTAGGATTACAGGTGTGAGCCACAGCTCCCGGCAGTGAAACAGGATATTTTAGTGGAGACATTTTAACATAAAATAGCAAGATTCTGTGATTGGGTCAGAGTGTCATTGCTGTGGTTGAAGGTGTTTGTTATCTATTGCTCCTCCCTTTGAAAGAAAGAAAGCTGGAAGTTGAAGTTAGATTTCTAGGGTGACAAAATTCAGTATGGGTGGTTAGCTCAAGGCTGGGCTTAGATGAATAATGTGAAAGTCTGCTCTGGTAACTCCCTGTTCAGTCAGATGGTGATCAGGTTTTAAAAACCAGGAAGCCAGCCAGTCCATCCCTTTGAGATGGCTTTACAGATCCATTCTCTGGTTTTTTTGTCTGTTGATTTTATTTTGTAAGTCTCAAAAGACAGCCTTAATTAAAGCCAGGTTCTTAGGTCACCACTGCCCTAGCTACCAGTGATGCTTAGTCTTACTGGTGGTTCACAAGGAGCCTCTTGCCTCCTGAAACCCCACCGTAGGATCCTCAAATGCAAATCTTTCTTGTCCCTCTTAGAAGTAACTAGCACTCTAGGCCATGCACAGTGGCTCATGACTGTAATCTCAGCACATAGGGAGGCTGAGATGGGCAGATCACTTGAGGTCAGGAGTTACAGGCCAGCCTGGCCAACATGGTGAAACCCTGTCTCTATGAAAAATATTACAGACAGGCAGGCACCTGTCTGTAATCCTAGCTACTCAGGAGGCTGAGACACAAGAATTGCTTGAACCCGGGAGATAGAGATTGCAATGAGCCAAGATCGCACCACTGCACTCCAGCCTGGGAGACATGGTGAGACTCTGTCTCAAAAAAAAAAAAAAAGGCAACTAGCACTCTAGTTCCTTGAACTCTCAAGTTTTATATAAACGAAGGACTTTTTTTTTTTTTTTGAGACAAGGTTGCCCAGGCTGGAGTGCAGTGGTGTGATCACGGCTCATTGAAGCCTCGACTTCCTGGGCTCAAATGATTCTCTCACCTCAGCCCCCTGAATAGCTGGAACTACAAGCACACACCAACATGCCTGGCTAATATTTTGTAATTTTTTTTTTTTTTAAAAACATGAGGTCTTGCTATGTTGCCCTGGCTGGTCTTGAACTCCTGGGCTCAAGCGATCCTCCCTGCCTTAGCCTCCCAAAGGGAGAGATTACAGGTGTGAGCCACCATGCTTGCTCTAAATGAAGGACTCTTTACTAACAACCTGCTAAATGAGTTAAGGATTCATTTGTTTTCTTTTTATAAACTAAAATGAAGGCCTAGTAGAACTCCATATTCTATGAATGCTTATTTTTGTGCTAAATTACAAAACTCACTATGCTTGTGAGCTCACACAGAGTTAGAATTTTCTGTTTTAAGGAGATATTATGCCATCTTGTCATGACTTGGTTCTGGTTTTCAATTGTTGCTACTCTTGCTTTTTTTTTTCATCCAGGTTGGAGTATAGTGATGCAATCTCCGCTCACTGCAACCTCCACCTCTCAGGTTCAATCAGTTCTCCTGCCTCGGCATCCTGAGTAGCTGGGAATACAGGCATGTGCCACCATGCCTGGCTAATTTTTTTGTATTTTTAGCAGAGATGGAGTTTCACCATGTTGGTCAAGCTGGTCTTGACCTCAAATGATCCACCTGCGTCAGCCTCCCAAAGTGCTGGGATTACAGGCTTGAACCACTGCACCCGGCTTATTCTTGCTTTTTAATTATAAATTACTATTAGTTTAGTTTGGTTGTTTGGCTAATCCTACAATGTGTAATGATATATATTTGTATCAAAAGTAGTTTAAGACGGGGCACAGTGGCTTATGCCAGTAATCCCAGCAGTTTGGGAGCCCTAGGTGGGCGTATCACTTGAGGTTAAGACTTTGATACCAGGCTGACCAGTGTGGTAAAATCCTGTCTCTACTAAAAATACAAAAATTAGCTGGCCATGGTGGCACGTGCCTGTAATCCCAGCTACTCAGGAGGCTGAGGCAAGAGATTCACTTGAATCTGGGTAGTGGAGGTTGCAGTGAGCCGAAATCACACCATTGCGCTTCAGCCTGAATGTCGCAGGAAGACTGTCTCAAAAAAAAACAAAAGTAGTTTAGGTTTGTAATTTCCCAATAACTAGATATTAAGACATTTATTCTCTCAAATATGCTAGGCTCTGTGGTTAAAACATAAATCACCTGCAATATTACTTGCTAAAGTGGATGAGTACAGATTTTCAGCCCTCCCCACTAAATATGCTTCCATCATGACACCTTGCTGTTATCACAGATTCTTTTTTTTTTTTTTTTTTTTTTCTGAGATGGGAGTCTCACTCTGTGGTCCAGGCTAGAGTGAAGTGGTGTGATCTAGCTCAGTGCAACCTCCACCTCCCAGGTTCAAGCTATTCTTCTGTCCCAGCCTCCCCAAGTCACTGGGACTACAGGCACATGCCACCACACCCAGCTAATTTTTGTATTTTTAGTAGAGATGAGATTTTCCCAGGTTGGCCAGGCTGGTCTGCAACTCCTGACCTCAGGTGATTCGTCTGCCCTGGCCTCTCAAAGTGGTGGGATTACAGGCATGAGCCACCACATGCTGCCAGAGACTTTTTATCAGACAGAAGTGGAAATAAGAAGAGTAGGTGGTGGGTTATAGGATCTTTTGTCCCACCTCTTCTCCCGCCTGGTACTTACGATCCTTTTCCTTCCTTCCTTTCTTTCTTTCTTTTTTCTTTCTTCCTTCCTTCCTTCCTCCCCTTCTTTCTCTTCTTTCTCTTTATCTCCACTCATTCTTTTGTTCTCTTTCTTTCTCTTTCTTTCCCTCCCTCCCTCCCTCCCTTCCTTCCTTCCTTCCTTGCCTACCTTCCCTTCCTTCCCTTCATTGTCTTTCTTTTCTTTCTTTCTTTCAACAGAATCTCACTCTGTCACCCAGGCTAGAGTGCAGTGGTGCAATCTCGGCTCACTGCAACCTCCACCTCCTGGGTTCAGTGGCTAGGATTACAGGTGCACACCATGATGCCTGGCTAATTGTATTTTGTATTTTTAGTAGAGACAGAGTTTCACAACATTGGCCAGGCTGGTCCGGAACTCCTGACCTCAAGTGATCGGCCTGAGTCAGCCTCCCAGAGTTTTGGGATTAGAGGCGTGAGCCACCATGCCTTCTCCATTACCGTCATCCTTTCTGTCTTGCCAGGTCTCCATCCAATCCCACCCCAAGGAGGAAAACTGGAGATTGCTGGGATGGTTGTGGGCCAGTGGGCTGGCAGCAGATCCTCCAGGGGCCTAGGATCCTTCGGCATGCAAGTGGTTTCTGTCGGTGGGCCAGGAAAGGGGTATGTATCCAAATAGGCTGGTATGAGCTAGTGTCAGTTAAGGTCCCCTTGGGAAAATGCGTAGGTGTTAAATCCTTCTATTAAGGCAAGAAGTACTAACTAACTTTCCTTTTTTCTTTTGAGGCAGGGTTTCACTTTGTTGCCCAGGCTGGAGTACAGTGGCATGATTTCTGCCACTCCTTACTACAACCTCCTCTGCCTCCTGGGTTCAAGTGTTCCTCTTGCCTCAGCCTCCCGAGTAGCTGGGACCACAGGTGTGCATCACCATGCCTGGCTAATTTTGCATATTTTTGGTAGAGCTGTGCTTTCGCCATGTTGCCCAGGCTGGTCTCAAACTCCTGAGCTCAAGCAATCCTCCCGTCTTGGCTGTCCAAAGTGCTGGGATTACAAGTATGAGCCACCATGCCTGACCAGCTTTCTTTCTTTCTTTTTTTTTTTTTTTTTTTTAAGACAGAGTTTCTCTCTGTCACCAGGTGCCTGGCTGGCTGGAGTGCAGTGGCGCAATCTCAGTTCACTGAAACCTCTGCCTCCCAGGTTCAAGCAGTTCTCCTGCCTCAGCCTCTCGAGTAGCTGGGACTACAGGTGCATGTCACCATACCTGGCAAATTTTTGGATTTTTAGTAGAGAGGGGGTTTCACCATGTTGGCTAGGATGGTCTCGATTTCTTGACCTCGTGATCCACCCGCCTCGGCCCACCAAAGTGCTGGGATTACAGGCATGAGCCACCGCGCCTAGCCCAACTTTCCATTTTTAAAGTCAGTTTTCAGTTTAGTTCAGCAAATATAAAATAAATTGCCCTGCCTTGATTAAAGAGTTTTTACCCTAGAGGAGACCATGGGATACAGAACAATTCAGTTTAGTAGAATATAGAAATGACTGAGATAGATGTTTACAGGAGTAACACTGAGGGAGGGGCATCTAACTTAAGAGGGTCAAACTTCCAAGAGGAGACGCATAGTTAACCAAGTGAAAAGGGAGGTGTGGGCTTTATGTCTCTCATGATCACTTTTTTTCTCGCTTGCTAAAGGCTTGGAAAAGAACAGACTGGTAGAGGATTCAAGGGACACAAAAAAGGAAATAAGCAAGTAAGTACTTTAAAAAATTTTTTTTTAGATTATTTGGCTTCTGCTTGATGCCTTTTGCCTTTTCAGCTTTCAGATCAGGCCTGGAAACCTGAACTGCTCAGCAGAGCTTCGCAACTCCTCCAGGTGTTTGATGGCCTTCCCCTGCTCTCTAATGGTATGGTGAGGGGTTAGCCTGCCTCGAGCTGTTCTCACAGGGCTGCAGTCTTCCCCTTTTCCAAGTGAGACCACAAGATAGAAACTAGGTACTGTGTCCTAAAGACCTGCGCCTAGTATGCTATGTGCTGCGTGCAGCCAGAAAGGGGCCAGAGTGATGCTAACAGTGAGACTGCCCATAGCCTGCCTGAGCTTCTGAGAGGCCATCAGATGCACTTAGAAAACTGGACTTTTTTTTGCCTTTGCTGTGAATATAGGTGGGGGCGTTAACATTCTGCTTATTCTTAGTGACTCAGAAATGTCTTGAACTTTCTCTCTCTCTCTTTGAGACAGGGTCTCACTGTCACCTAGGCAGACTGGAGTGCAGTGGCACAATCATGGCACACTGCAGCCTCTACCTTTTTGGCTTATGCAGTCCTCTCAGCTCAGTCTCTCAAGTAGCTGGGACTGCAGTTGTGCACCACCGCAACCTGCTATGCTTTTCTGTTTGTTATGTAGACAGGGTCTTCCTTCGTTGCCCCAGGCTGGTCTCAAAGTCCTGGGCTCAAGTGATCCTCCAACCTCTTAAAGTGCTGTGATTATGGGCCCAAGCCACTGTGCCCAGCCTTCAAACTTCCTTCTAATCCATACCTTGAATTCTATCACAGTTCCCACTGGTCCTCATTAGGTATGCCCCACCTCCACCCCGCTCAGATGCAAACTAGGAGTTCTTGTAGTGATCCAAAATATTGTAGTAGACTCAAACTGCTGGGCTTCTTGTAGTATCACAGCTCCCATTTCTTGAGTACCTACTTTCTACCAAGTCCCCTCTAGACATTCTACATGTAGTCTTTCATCCTGGACAATTTTGTCATCAGTTCTCTATCCTAAATCTATTCTGTATACAGCCAGCCCTCACTTCGTCCACGTTCATCCCCATCATCTAATGTTTCCTCAAAGAAGATAAATTTGCTTTAATGTGATTTTGAGCCAAAAATGGAACTAGATAGTAGGTCTCCCATGCAAAGCATTTTATAATGCACTCCAAAGCTACAGAACAGTGACTTTGGTGATTTTTCCAAAGCTTCTCAGCTTTTTCCCGAAGCTGCTCAGTAAGGTAAAAAGGATGCACCTAGAAGGAAAGCTAATCACCAAATAGGCTCTCATAAGATGGTACAGCCTTGGTGAATTCACCAGGATTCAGGGGCTGGTCATTAGGCATATAGTCAGAAAAGCATAGATTGGTCTCTCTGGTTGACTCACACTAACCAAGATCATAGAAATAGCTGTGTGGAGCTAGGTGCGGTGGCTCACGCCTGTAATCCCAGCACTTTGGGAGGCTGAGGCGGGCAGATCACGAGGTCAGGAGTTCGAAACCAGCCTGGCCAATACGGTGAAACCCTGTCTCTACTAAAAATACAAAAATTAGCCAGGTGTGGTGGCACGCACCTATAGTCCCAGCTGCTTGGGAGACTGAGACAGAAGAATCACTTGAACCTGGGAGGTGGAGGTTGCAGTGAGCTGATAAATCGAGCCAATACACTCTAGCCTGGATGACACAGTGAGACTCTGTCTCAAAAAAAAAAAAAAAAGAGAAAGAGCTGTGTGGATATGGCTAAGGGGTGGGGGAAGAAGGGGCTGAGATAAAGAACTGATTGATGATCAGAAATTGTTGTGACAATGTATTACACATTCACTCTTTTCTAGTCACTTGTACAAATATGTGAGTGAGGTCACTGAAACCACATACATGCCCTGTGAAGTATTTATTATTCTCCATTTTATTATTACTATTTTTTTGAGACAGGGTCTCACTCTTTCACCCAGGCTAGAATGCAGACCACTGCAGCCTCAACCTCCCAAGGCTCAAGCAATCCTCCCACCTCACCCTATGGAGTAGCTGGGACTACAGATGTCAGCCACCACACCCAGCTAATTTTAAAGTATTTTTTGTAGAGACAGGGTTTTGCCACGTTGCCCAGGCTGGTATCAAACTCCTGACCTCAAGCTCAGCCTCCCAAAGTACTGGGATTAAAGGAATGAGTCACCATGCCTGGCCTCGTCCCCATTTTAAACAGGAAGAAATTGAGACTCAGAAGAATGAAGTATCTTTCCCCAAATTATCCATCAAGTCCGTATATCAGAATTGACATTACAGCCTGAGCTAACTGATTCCAAAGCCCTGTGCTATGCTAATTCCAATATAGTATAACAGCTCCTGTTAGAGACAAGCATCAGACTCAGGTGTGGCTGACTCTAGCTATGCATGCCTTTAACCATTGCTACTAGGGCTTTCTTTCTCTAAGGGCAAGTTACAAGAGAGGCCGTGGTTTCGGAAGTTTGCTTGGGGGCATGGAATCAGAACAATGTTCTGCTAGCTTTTTTTCTGAGTCACCCAGGCTGGAGTGCAGTATTGCAATCATAGTTTACTGCAGCCTCAAACCCCTGGGCTCAAGTAGGTGCGAGTACAGGTGCACACGGTCATGCCTAGCTAATTTTTATATTTTTTGTAGAGACAGGGTTTTGCCATGTTGGCCAGACTGATCTCGAACTCCTGAGCTCAGGTGATCTGCCTGCCTCGGCCTCCCAAAGTTCTGGGATTACAGGTGTGAGCCACTGCATCCAGCCTTAGTGAGCATTTATTGAGTTTTTACAGTGTGCCAAAGACAGCATGTTCTAAGTGCTTTATATGTAGTGTCTCATTGAATCCGTATAGGAACCTACAAAGTAGATACTTATTCTATTTTACAGATGTGGAAAGTGAGAGAAAACAAGGGATGGTAGGTGATCTTAAATTTCTCTTGGCTAAGACGGCTGTGGACACTGTTATCTACTCCAGAGGTCACCTAGCCAAGGAAATCCTCATTGAGACTTTGTTTATAGCAAGCCATCTTCTCTGGACAGAGCTGCTGCTGACTTCCTTTTTTGACTCTTCTTTTTCTGTTTCAGTTGGAACAGAAAAAAAAGTATGAGATAATTAAGAAAATATTCCAGCTTATTAAATCTGGTTACACTCTAATCCTGACTTCCTGAGATGATTTTTCAGTTGGAACAGAAAGAGTATGAGATAATTAATAAAATGTTCCAGCTTATTAAATCTGGTTACACTATAATCCTGTCTTCCTGAAATTATTCCTAGGCCACAAAAGTTTTGTATGTTCTTAAATTTTTTTTTTCTTATTTTTCTTTTTTGAGATACAGTCTTGCTCCATCAGCCAGGCTGGAGTGCAGTGGCACGATTTCGGCTCACTGCAACCTCTGCCTCCTGGGTTCAAGCAATTGTCCTGCCTCAGCCTCCCAAGTAGCTGGGATTACAGGAGTGCACCACCACACCCAGTGAATTTTTGTATTTTTAGTGGAGAGGCGGGGTTTTACCATATTGGCCTCGCTGGTCTCGAACTCCTGACCTCAGTTATTCTGCCCGCCTTAGCCTCTCAAAGTGCTGGGATTACAGGTTTGAGCCATCATGCCTGGCCTCTTCTTAAATTCTTAAGTCACTTACTTGTAATGTTGTGATTTCTTTATTGACTCCTTCAGGTGGCTAATTCATCCATTTTTATGGCTGTTACTATCCAGGTTGTTGGATAGTACTTCATAGTAAGCCCCATATTGTACAGACTTTGGAACCAAATGATAGCTCTGAATCTGGCTCTGCTACTCACTAGTTCTATGATCTTAGACAAGTTACTTAGCCTCTTTGCCCTAGTTTTCCCCTCTATAAACTTGAAGAAATTGGTATCTGTGTTGCAGAGTTGTTATACGAGGACTAAATTAAAATATTTTTACCTTTTTTCAGGCTGCTTTCCTTTTTCTCTTTTTTTCTTTTCTTTTCTTTTCTTTTTTTTTTTTTTTGAGACAGGATCTCTCTGTCGCCCAGGCTGGAATGCAGTGGTGGCACAGTCATGACTCACTGCAGCATGGCCCTCCCAAGCTCAAGCAGTCCTCCCCACCTCAGCCTCCTGGGTAGCTTGACCACGGGTGCATGCCACCATGCCCAGCTAATTTTTGTAATTTTTTTAGAGAGAGAGTTTTGCAATGTTGCCCAGGCATGTCTCAGACTCCTGAGTTCAAGCAGTCTGCCTGCCTTGACCTCCTAGAAGCTTCAGTTTTCTTTTTTTTTTGAGATGGAGTTTTGCTCTTGTTACTCAGGCTGGAGTGCAATGGCGCGATCTTGGCTCACCGCAACCTCCACCTCCTGGGTTCAAGCAATTCTCCTGCCTCAGCCTCCTGAGTAGCTGGGACTACAGGCACGCACTACCATGCCCAGCTAATTTTTGTATTTTTAGTAGAGACGGGGTTTCACCTTGTTGACCAGGATGGTCTCGATCTCTTGACCTCATGATCCACCTGCCTCGACTCCCAAAGTGCTGGGATTACAGGCTTGAGCCACCGCGCCCGGCAGAAGCTTCAGTTTTCTTATATAAAAGGAACAACAGAGTATGTGGCATGTCCATCCCCTGGGTAATCAGAAGCTGTGATTATTCCCAGCAACATTCATTAAGAGCCACATTGGGCTGGGCACTGTGGCTCACGCCTGTAATCCCAGCATGTTGGGAGGCCAAGGCCTGAGCTCAGGAGTTTGAGACCAGTGTGGCCAACATGGTGAAACCCTGTCTCTACAGGAAAGATAAAAATTAACTGGATGTGGTGGCGCATGCCTGTAGTCCCAGCTACTTGTGGGGCTGAGGTGGGAAGATGGCTTGAGCCCGGGAAGTTGAGGCTACAGTGAGCCAGGATTGCACCACTGAACTCCACCCTGGGTGAAAGAGCAAGACCCTGTCTCAAAAAAAAAAAGCTGTGTCATTATTGTGTTATCATTGCCATTGGATTCCAGTTGAGTCTATATGCTGTCACCCTAAGTTCTCAAGATAATACTAGAATGTACTAGGTATCGGGCTGGGCATGGTGGCTGACACCTTTAATCTCAGCACTTTGGGAGGCCGAGGCGAGCAGATCACTTAAGGCCAGGAGCTGGAGACCAGCCTGGCTAACATGGTGAAAACCCCGTCTCTGCTAAAAATACAGAAATTAGCCAGGCGTGGTGGCAGACGCCTGTAGTCCCAGCTACTCGGGAGGCTGAGGTGGGAGGATTGCTTGAACCGTGGAGGCAGAGGTTGCAGTGAGCCCAGATTACAGACTACACTCCAGCCTGGGCAACAGAACAAGACTCTGTCTCAAAAAATAAAAATAAAAAAAGAAGGCTGGGCGCGGTGGCTCACCCCTATAATCCCAGCACTTTGGGAGGCTGAGGCGGGTAGATCACGAGGTCAAGAGATCGAGACCATCCTGGTCAACATGGTGAAACCCCATCACAACTAAAAATACAAAAATTAGCTGGGCATGGTGGTGCGCGCCTGTAGTCCCAGCTACTTGGGAGGCTGAGGCAGGAGAATTGCCTGAACACAGGAGGCGGAGGTGGCGGTGAGCCGAGATCGTGCCATTGCACTACAGTCTGGGTAACAACAGCGAAACTCCGTCTCAAAAATAAAAAAATAAAAAGTAAAGAATATACTAGATATCAACCAGCTTGCGGTCTTCCAGTGTTTTTGAATAACTGAAACCATTTTCTCAGGCTAGCTTATGAATATGCTTAGGGGAAGGGTCAGCCAGTCTGGATTTCCATTTCCACTGAGTATCTCTGTCTTTAACAGGGCTCTTCAGATGCAATTTCTAAATCCCTGGAGCTTCATCAAGGTCGATCTCGCTCGCAGGTAAATGGAAACAGTGGCGCATTGATCAAGGAAGAGAAGAGTGATCATCATCTTCTAGCTCCATCACAATGTGCCTTATCCAGAGACAGCAACGAGTGTAGTAATGGTAACCGCTACCTCCCTATGAGGAATGGGGAGAAGAACCACTTACAAGAGCAAAAGCTAGAAACTGTGACACAACGGAAAGAGGACTGACAAGCTGAAGATGGCTTCACCAAACCAGGAAGAGGGAAAACCTTTACTTTTCTGATTTTAGGCCCAAGCTAGAGGAGGATATAAATGCTTACCCTAGATTTCTCCAGGATTTTGGTGGGATGTTCTATTGTGTCCATCTTTTTCCCTTCCCTGCCTTTTTCTGGGCCTCCAGATTCAGTGGTCTGTTTCTGGATAAGTTCTGGTCAAAGATGAATGGCAGTGAGACTAGCTCCTATTCTCAAATTGAATATATAGCACCATTATTTTCTTCATCTCCTCGGGGAGCCTAGTAAGGCAGTACCTGTCAGAAATTGGGTGTTATCACATAAACTCCTATAGAAAAAGTTCCAGATTTGGGCTGGGTGTGGTGGCTCACACCTGTAATCCCAGCACTTTGGGAGGCCGAGGTGGGTGGATCATGAGGTCAGGAGTTCAAGACCAGACTGGCCAACGTGGTGAAACCCCATCTCTACTAAAAAATAGAAAAGTTAGCTGGGCATGGTGGCTCGTGCCTGTAATCCCAGCTACTTGGGAGGCTGGGGTAGGAGAATTGCTTGACCCGGGACCTGGGAGGTGGAGGTTGCAGTGAGCCGAGATCGTGCCACTGCACTCCAGCCCGGGCTACAGAGCGAGACTCCATCTCAAAAAAAAGAAAAGTTCCAGATTTTTTTTTTCTGAATATTTATAATGATACTCATTATTACAGACTTACATGATAAATCTGCGAGGTTATTATTTTTTATTATCATTTTCTCTGTGAAGTGGTATCCACCTCTTCCTCACTCCTTCCAACTTACCTACTCCTGGATTTTGTACCACCACCTCTAGCTTTGGCCTGACAATCAGATAGGTAGATGATTTCAGAAAAGTAAGGTAGTATTGGTTATTTTATTTTATTTTATTTTTTATTTTATACACTTCAAAAGAACTATCAATGGCCTTTGTACTGGGGGATTCAAGTGAATCAGGAAAGTACTGGGCAGATTTTTCCTGCCTCTCAACCAGTGCATTGTTTGTAAAATAGGAGATGTGGCACAGTTCATTCACTCCCTACTGCCCACACCATGAAAGGGTGGGAATCAGTGTAATGAACTTGAGTACTGAAAAGACTGTGTGTGTGTGTGTGTGTGTGTGTGTGTGTGTGTGTGTGTATATGATGTGTGTATCTATATGCATACACATACCCTTTATATAAAGAGACAGATCTATTTATCTATACATATTTTATATATATGTGTGTGTGTATGTGTGTATATATGTGTGTATATATATATACACATACATACATACATACATGGTGATGTCCCAGAGGATTTACTGAATTTCCCAGAAATGCTTCCACTGCTATGGAGTGGAGGGTTTCAAAAGACCACACTTTAAATGTGAAATTCTTAACTAAGTCATAGCCCATCACAATTATGAGAAGTTGGATGGGCTTCTCTAAATTAGACAAAAAGTACTTTCCAGAAATTGCCTGTTCAGAACAACAAACACTTGGGTTGTTACAAGCGTAATCTTCAACAGAGCCCTCACATCCCATATGGTAAAAACAGGAGGTTAGAATGGGATTGGAAAGAGTTGGGCATTTCCTTATGAAGGTTTGGAGAGAGAAGGGGGGATGGGAGGTGACTACCATTTGAAAGGGCTTTCGGCCAATTTGGAGGAAATCTCTTCTGGAACTTCAGGGTCAAATTGGTTTCAGGCTAGAATTGATTGACATGAATCCCTGAAGGAGAGAGGACTAGCTTTGGAAAGATAGGGTAGGGAAGTGTGAGGAAACTGACTATTTGATTTTACACGCCTGGATTGTTTCATTTGTTCATTGACATTCTGACTACCGGATCTTTTCATTTGCTTTGCAAGGAAGACTTTAGAGGACTCTGGCCTGGGCCTTGAGATGTATTCTATAAAAGATTCTCAGCCCTCTGTGTGGCCAGGATCTGCCCAGGATAAAGAGGCTATTCCTCCTTGCTGGAGATAATATTGAGACAACCTTGCATTTCCAGTTTCCCTCCTTGGGCACCCTAAGTATGAGGGATGGAAACATGGCTTGCAAAAAATTAGCATTGTGTCTTTATTCAGGAATTGAGGCTTCCAGCCTCACATACCTCCTTTTGGGCTTTGTGATATTCTTGCCCAAGAAGTACCGTTTCTACAGAATACAACTGACTAATCTTCTAGCAGGGTTCTTGAAAAACCTCATGCACCTTAACCCACAGCAGGTCCTTGGTGATTTTTGCCCAGACAACCAGAAGGCTATTTACTCACTGCCCACTTACAATGATCATATCATAGGAAATTGAAAACAGCGTCAGACTATTTAGTCCTAGTCTGTTCCAGATTAAGAGAATCCATGATTTTCAGGGGGAGGGAGCCCCGAAATGCCTTGACCCCTGCCCAGATACTTCTTACATAAACCAAAGAAAGATGACTAGAGGTGCATCTAGCTAGACCGAAGTAGAAACGAAGTATACAGAAACCTCCTCTTTGGAATCAGCTCCCCTAATGTGGTCCCCCTTCTTCTGTTGGACCTGCCAAACCTTTCACAGCATCTTGAAGGTAGGACTCCTATATCCAGCAAGGGAAGGGATAGTAGTAAATTTACATGGCTTGGAATTTTCTTTCTGGAGCCACAGCTGGATGAATCCTTTGGAGCTCTAAAAGCAACCAGTATCACTGAGCTGTGAGACCTATATCTCCACTTTCTAATAGGAAGCACTTGGACTTAAAATTGGTAAAGTATTTTTTGCAGTTGCTGTTTCTGTGCATCTTGAATCTGACACAATCAGATGACAGTATTGTGAACTCTCACACCATTAAGAAGATTTCTGACTTCGTAGGCAGGCACTGTGAGAGGTAAAATTGCTGCTTTGGCAGGGATGCTTCCAGTTTGCCAAAAGGCTTCTCTTCCTTCCACACACCTCTATTTCCCCTAGCCCAGGGTGAAACAAGTGGGTCATCTCACACTTGATTTTTATTTGGATTCAGCATTTTGGGTTCAGAAGGTTACAAGAAAGCACCATAAATGGCCGTATTCCTAGACTGATTGATTTATCTCACAAAATATACAATTTAAAAGCCAGGAAAACTAAGGTTTATTACTGAGAGTGAACTTTTTCTAACTAGAAGACAAATTGTGGAATGTGGGGTCTGATCTTTGCTGCACCACTCGAAGAGACTGTCATCCTTCGCTTGAGGTTCCATTTCTAGCTGTGATGTGACCTCTCTTGAACAGAGTCATATCGGAACCCCTAGAAATGACCCCTTTACATTGTAGGACCATAAGCAAAACATCCTGGTTGTGTATAGTCACTGATTCCCAAGGACTTGCAGTTGTTTATATTTCTGCTGGTGAGTCGTGGGATCAGTTTATAACTCCTACCCTTAATTCAGTCAGTGACCAGTTCAGTCTGGTCTGGACCAGACCTGACAAACTTATGCTCACTTGCATCATTTTCATTCTGAGCCAGTAGGACTTTGGGTAGACTTTAAAGCCCAAGAAGTGGTACTCGTTTTGGCTAGTGACATTTGATTTTTGTCTCCATCTTGATTTCTGATACCGTTGGCCAAGTCACGTTAACTTTTTTTGATCACTGAGAAAAACAGCCGAACGGTGGAGGGTTGGGGGCAGGAATGCTTATGTAGGGTAGAAAGAATGTGGTGGTTGCTGTTTGGTTATGGCGATCCAGTCCTTTGGAACCTTACAGGGCTCCTTTGGGCATGTCAGTGTTAACCATTACAGCCTCTACTGCCCACCCACCTTTAAAATGTCAGTACAAGTAGACCACAGTTTAAAGTAGTTAGTGTAATTCTACTAAGGTTTAATCATTATACTTGTTCACTTCCTGGTGCATATTTCCTAAATATGCCTGGGGTTTTGGGGCGGGGGGGTTGAGTTTTCACTGTTCGATTGCGTGTCATCTTGTATTTTTCTCCATCCTGTGACTTTGGCATCTTCTTATTCAACTTTCTATTTTCTTTTCCCTTGGCTTATTGCAGTAGTCTGCTGGTGCAGGTAGAGAGCTCAGTGCACCTATTCCCCTATTACTGCTAATTATCTTCAATATTGTCAGAGGTTATTTTGATGTTCTAAGAAAATAAAGTCATTTTTTACAAAATCCATCTTTTCCAAGTTAAAAGCAAAATACAAAATCCCATGCTAGGGTGCCCATTTCAGCTTTCGACGTTGCCCCTGTACTTTTATAGATGCTCTTTTTGTCCGTGTTGGTAGTAACTAATGACTAGTGAATTTTCATGTAAATGAAACAAAATAAATATTTCAGACTTTAGTAATCTCTCATAACCCTGCCAAATCTGATGACTTCATTTTAGTTACTTCCCACAAGGCACTTCCCCTTCTACCTTCTATTCATTCTACTATTCTATTCTATTCTATTCTATTCTATTCTATTCTATTCTATTCTATTCTATTCTATTCTATTCCTAATCTGTTCTATTCTGTTTTTAGAATAACACACTAGATAAAGAAACTTTAACTGCAAGGAGTCAGTGACTTTTAGTGCTCCCTGATAAATGATGTTTTGACAAAAGTAAAAAATTACTTCCTTGTTTTTTCCTGTATTACTATCTTCTCTCCTGTGCTCTTGACAGTGTGTTTAGTGGATGTATTTCTCTTTCCCACTCCCAGATTCCAGATTCCCTGCCTTTTCGGTCCACCTCACCACAAAAGCTCCATAGTTTATTAATGTAAGTTTGAATGGATGCTTCTTTGGGGAAACTGCAGGAGTTAATGGAAGAGTTTCAGAAAGGAATAAGAATGTCTCAGGAGTTGTTTTGTGATGGAAATTGGTCTGTTGTTCTGTTAATGCTGATGGAAAGAAACTTACAACGCTTAATAAAAATCTATTCTTTTAGTAAAAAAAAGTTGTAAAATAATTTTGGGTGTGTGAAGTTTGATTTCTTTTCCCATTTCTGGATCTCTTTTTGCAAATGGGGGATACACTTGGCTCAATTCAGAAGTGTTGCACAGAGATTTAGGAATCTATTTGTATAGTATCAATGCAAGAGACCAAGTACAAGAATTATCAAAAGGAAGAGCATATTTAGCCTCCTGGTTAACTTCTTTATTTTAATGTTCTAAGGGCACCTTTGTCTTGACATTTCCCAAACTGAACCCATCCTTTGTGCCGAAGCCTGCACCTCTGTCAGTGACACTCCTTTCTACTCAATTGCCTAAATCACAAACCGACCTGGGAGTGAATGATCTTAGACTTGCCCCTCACTTCTCAAATCCAACTGATGAAAACATCTGTTAATAACACTCAACCATCTTTCGTTTCTCACATCTGTTTCTTTTCTGTCCTGGCTCCTGTGGCTTAGTGGCGGCCTCATCATGTCTTACCTGGACTATTGCAGTTGCTCCCCATCTTACTCCTTAACCAGGCAGTTTTAAGCAACATTTTGTGTCTAAGAATATGTACCTTTTTCCAGTGAAAGGGCCCAGACCTTTTTTTCAGGTTCTTAAAAGCATCTATGACACGAAAGGATGTTAAGAACCATTGCTTTAATCCACCATGCTTAGCAGCTTCTAAAGTGTTCCTCTAACGTGCTGCTCTCCTGACTCCATGATCCCTTCATGATCTGGCCCCTGACCACATCTCGGTTCACTTCCTACCTCCCCAGCCCAACTCCAGACATAATAAAATGCATCCTGTACACATTAAGCTGTCAATATCCATTTCTTCTCACTTCTACCATTGCCAAAATTTCTGTTTCTCGTGCAGACTCGACTTACTCCCCTAAGATTCTGCTCATGTCTTTATGATTCTTTTCCTGATCCCCAACTCAATGAGTACAGACTCATCACAGCCAGCCTCTGTAGTGCTTTGCTGCATCTCTGCCTCTAGATTACACTTGTGAGCAGTGCCTGTGCTTGACCATCTCTGTGTTCTTGGCACTTACTGCACAGCACACGCTTAGTAAGTTTGATGAATAAGTCAAGGACAGCTAAAACACTTTTGAAAATGGCCTTTTGAAAATGGCCTTTGGTACAAAGCAGATTTCAGACTTTCAAGGCAGAGGATACTTTGGTGGCAAAAACTCAGGAAGATTGAGTATGAGGTTTCAGCCCTGGATGGCATTCACTTAAATGTGTTTTAAAATTGAGCTCTGAGTCACCTTTGAGCAATAGAGGGATGCTTTGAACAGAGGCTGAAGCCAGGACTCCAGGGCATTCTTTACTGTTTCTGCTGAATGACTCTAGCTGCACTTGGCCTCCCTAACCGCTCTGTGCCTTTTGTGTACAGATTATAAAAGGAAGCAGCTGAGCCTCAAGGTAGCATTAGAGGCCAGCTGAAGCTTGTAAATACTTTATCCTTAAGTGAAAAATTATTACATCTTTTGTTTTATATAGGTTCCTTATAGCCACACGTCTTTTCCTAGCCTTTAAGTGTTGGGACTGCGAAAATTTAATAGTAGTAAATCTTTAGTATTTGGCTTTTTTATTTTTTATTTTTATTTATTTATTTATTTTTTGAGACAGAGTTTTGCTGTTGTTACCCAGACTGGAGTGCAATGGCACGATCTCGGCTCACCACAAGCTCCGCCTTCTGGATTCAAGCAATTCTCCTCCCTCAGCCTCCCGAGTAGCTGGGACTACAGGTGTGCACCACCATGCCCAGCTAATTTTTTGTATTTTTTAGTAGAGACGGGGTTTCACCATGTTGACCAGGATGGTCTCAATCTCTTGGCCTGGTGATCCACCCGCCTCAGCCTCCCAAACTGCTGGGATTATAGGCGTGAGCCACCACGCCCGGCCCTTATTTTTTATTTATTTTTTTTGAGACGGAGTTGTGCTCTTGTCTCCCAGGCTGGAGTGCAATGGGGCGATCTCAGCTCACTGCAACCTCCACCTCACAGGTTCCAACAATTCTCCTGCCTCAGCCTCCCAAGTAGGTGGGGTTACAGGCACCTGTCACCATGCGCCCAGCTAATTTTTGTGTTTTTAGTAGAGATGGGGTTTCGCCATGTTGGCCAGACTGGTCTCAAATTCCTGACCTCAGGTGATCCACCCGCCTCAGCCTCTCAAAGTGCTGGGATTACAGGTGTGAGCCACCGCGCCCGGCGTGGCTTTTTTAAATGACCATTTATTGCAGACCTATTAGGTACCAGGCATAGTACTAAACTCTTGTACATTATTTCTAATCCTTAAACAACTCTCCAAAGTACGATCCTTATTTTACATATGAGCAAACTGATTGGTGCCCAAGTCACACACAACTAATAAGTAATAAACCCAGCGTTCTAAATCTAAGTCTGTTTTGACTTAGTAGATAACTCATTTCTGCCTGCCCAGCATTCCTTCCTTATTCTGGCAATTAAGCCCAGTTTTCTCCTTTGGGGGAAGTGCCCATCTATCTTGGGATAAAGTCGAATTGACCATCAGTCATACGGCTTCATCTACCCCAGCACAGGAATGGAGGGTAGGTGATCCAAGAAGGGCTAATTGTAGTGCTTTTTCATGGAGGTGAGGGAGAAAGTTACAAAGAATGAAAATCTCTCTCTCTCACTCTCTCTTTTTTTTTTTCTTTTTTTTTTTGAGATGGAGTTTCACTGTTGTTGCCCAGGCTGGAGTGTAATGGCGCCATCTCAGCTCACCACAACCTACATCTCCCAGGTTCAAGTGATTCTCCTGCCTCGGCCTCCCAAGTAGCTGGGATTACAGGCATGTGCCATCGTGCCTGCCTAATTTTGTATTTTTAGTAGAGATGGGGTTTCCTCATGTTGGTCAGGCTAGTCTCAAACTCTTGACCTTAGGTGATCCGCCCGCCTCAGCCTCCCAAAGTGCTGGGATAATTCATGAGCCACCGGTGCCCATCCAATGAAAATACCTCTTTTAAGATTACAAGCATTAGGAATAATGTAAGCCTGGCACACTGCCTTCTGTTTATATCTTCTACAACTAGCCTTATTATGTGTGAAAAAATATGATAATTCTATTGTAATTGAATAGATACACAAAGGCATCTACTGAGGGCCTACTATGTGCCAGGGAGAGCGTTCTAGACACTTTATTTACATTTTCATTTCATTATTCAGTCCTTATATGTTTATAATTTCTAACTTGAGAAAAGGAGAATGTATCAGGATAGGCTAGGTTTTGCTGCAGTGATAACCCCCAAATCTCCGTAATTTAACAAAAGCATACTGACTGCTCATATGTCCAACAGGGATTGACAGCAGAGCTCTGTTCATGCGTGGTCACTGGGGAACGCTAGTAGACTAATCACCAAGACTCGACTTTCTTTCTTTTTCTTTTCTTTTCTGTTTTTTTTTTTTTTTTTTGAGACAGTTTTGCTCTTTTTTTTGCCCAGGCTAGAGTGCAATGCAATGGCATGATCTTGGCTCACTGCAACCTTTGCCTCCTGGGTTCAAGTGATTTCTCCTGCCTTAGCCTCCCAAGCAGCTGGGATTACAGGCATGCACCACCATGCTTGGCTAATTTTATATTTTTGAATAGAGATGGAGTTTCTGGGTTTTTTTTTGTTTTTGTTTTTTTTTTTTGAGATGGAGTCTTGCTCTATCACCAGTCTGCAGTGCAGTGGCACAATCTTGGCTCACTGCAAGTCCACCTCCCGGGTTCAAGTGATTCTTCTGCCTCAGCCTCCTGAGTAGCTGGGATCACAGGTGCGTTCCGCCACACCCGGCTAATTTTTTTTGTATTTTAGTAGAGACAGAGTCTCACCATGTTGGCCAGGATAGTCTCAATCTCCTGACCTCGTGATCCACCCAGCTTGGCCTCCCAAGGTGCTGGGATTACAGGCGTGAGCCACTGCGCCTGGCTCAGATGGGTTTTCACCAAGTTGACCAGGCTGGTCTGGAACTCCTGGACCTCAAGTAATCTGCCAGCCTCAGCATCCCAAAGTGCTAGGATTACAGGCACGAGCCACCGCACCTGGCCACCAAGGCTACCTTGAAGGATCATTTCCATAGTTCATTACTACAGCAGTTTCTCTGAATGTGTAGAGCATCAATATGTTAAATTTAAAAAGTTCCGTCACTGAGTCAGAGGAAGGCATATGACCAAAATAATACCTTGGCTCTTAAAGCTTAGAGTGTCACAGATCACTTCTCTCTTTTCATTGCCCAAAGCAAGCCACATGGTTGCAGCTAATTTTATAGAGGTGGAAAAGTACAATTGTACTATGTGCCTGAATGGAGATAAAACTGGTTAAGTTTGGTGAGTCACAATGACAGCATCACAGGGAGAAATGGTCCATTTCTGAGTAGACTTAATTCATCACTTTTGGTTGGTACCCATTACTTAACCATTTGAGACCTCGAATCTAAAATTTGGAATGTTAATAGCGAAACATTCATTCCCAGTTCAGTGTTTCAGTAGGGGTTCCCTGCATGTGGTCAGAGGTGAATATAATCTGGCGGTAATACAAGCACTAAGCTTAGTCCTTCTAGCCCACCCTGTGAAGTGGCTGTGAGGATTAAATGTGTATGCAAAAGGCCTGGCATACACTACAGCCTAGATAAATGGTAGCTGTTGTGGGTTAGGGAAGAAATGGTACTAGATGAAAGACTTATGTACACTCCCAGGCCTGATTTCCATAACACATTCCTTCCCATTCTGTAATCTGGCATCAGCCCTCCCCATCTGAATGGGACTGCTTCCAAAGGTGACCCGTGTGCTCTCAGTCATGAAGTTCAGGGTTTCCCTACAGGCCTCATCTTACTGAGGTCTACCATACCAATACGATACTGTAAAACAACCCATTCTCTGAAACTGACTTCCCTGACACTTCTCTCCTGTTTCTCTTAACTTTTTCACCACCTAAAAATATATGTAATATTTGATAAATATAAAACTATATATGTAACATACATTATGGAATTCAATAATAAAATGAACACTCAAACCCACCACC